GGGGTGGTGATGGGGTGACCCATCCACCAATGTGTCCCTGAGCAAGACACTTAACCCCTCGTTGCTCCAGAGGCATGCGACCTCTGACATATAAAGCAATTGTAAGTCGCTTTGGATAAAAGCGTCAGCTAAATGTAATGTAAGTATTTTAAACTTCTGCAAGCCTGTCTAAACAAAGAAGCATTTAATAATCTCAGTGAACTTATGAAACTTGTGCATAGAGAGAGCTGGAAACGCCTACGGGAGGGAGACATGGCGTAATGTAGATGACAGCTCCTGTCTACATCCGTGTGATCATGTGACCTAGATAAAGAGTCAGCTACCTTGTCTGACATGGAAAACAATGGGTGTAACCAAATGTTTAAAAACAGTGTCGAGCCCTTCTCGTTAGTTTATTCTGTATTCATTGTAGTGCATGTATTGACTCCTTGCAAATAAAAGATCACTGATTGTGACTCCAGTGACTCTGTCGTTCTTTGGTAAAGATTCTTCTAACAGTTCATAATGTTAAATTCAGATAAAACTGAAGTTATTGTACTGGGGCCCAAACACGTCCGAGACGCATTATCTAAAAATATAGTTACTCTGGATCAGAATCAGAATCAGAATCCGTTTTATTCGCCAGGTGTGTGTACACATTTGAGGAATTTGACTTTGGATTGTACTTTGCTCACGATGTGCCTACTCATACAATGATAATACAATAACACAATAATAAAGTCAGACACAGGCTACAGTATGGAGAACACAAATATACACACTATAAACTGAAACAAAAATAATAGAGAGATATTGACAAATATGTGCAGTGAACACAGTGCAAAGGATGCAAGAGTAAAATTATTAATATCATTATTGTGTACATGTCGTAGGTGGATGTGATATGCAGGTACACTTACATGCATACATGTACACAGTGTGATGGAGCATAGTGCAAAGATGCTGATATAAATAAGTAAGTATTTTGTGCAAGTGTTATGATGTTGAGGTAGGTGGTTGCACAGGAATCGTCCCTCACACTGTGAGTCAGAGTCAGCTGTTCATTAGAGTGATGGCTTGTGGGAAGAAACTGTTCCTGAGTCTGTTGGTTGGGAGTAAAGTGCTCTATAGCGCCTACCAGAGGTGAGAAATTGGAACAGGTTGTGTCCGCGGTGAGATGGATCTGCAGTAATGTTTCCTGCCCATTTCCTGACTCTGGAAATGTATAAGTCCTGAATGGAGGGCAGGTTGGCACCGATGATCTTTTCTGCAGTCCTGACTGTCCGTTGTTGTCTGCTCCTGTCCTTGTTGGTGGCAGATCCAAACCAGACAGTGATAGAGGTGCAGAGAACAGACTGGATGATGGTTGTGTAGAAGTGGATCAGCAGCTCCTTAGGCAGGTTGAGCCTCCTGAGCTGGTGCTGGAAGTACATCCTCTGCTGGGCCTTCTTGATGATGGTGTCAGTGTTGGGCTCCCACTTCAGATCCTGGTATGTAGTGGATCTCAGAAACTTAAAGGATTCCACAGCAGACACAGGGCTGTTGAGTATGGTGATGGGGAACTGAAGTCCACAAACAGGATCCTAGCATATGTCCCTGGAGAGTCGAGGTGTTGCAGGATGTAATGCAGTCCCAAGTTGAATGCTTCATCCACTGACATGTTAGCCCTGTAGGCAAACTGCAGGGGGTCCAGCAAGGGGCCTGTAATGTCCTTCAGGTGGGCCAACACTAGTCTTTCACTGTACTCATTTAATCCAGAGATAGAGGATTTTTTGGGGACTGGGATGATTGTGGAGCGTTTGAAGCAGGAGGGAACTTCACACAGCTCCTGGGATCTATTGAAGATCTGTGTGAAGATGGGGGTCAGCTGGTCTGCACAGATATTCAGGCAAGATGGTGAAACACCGCCAGGGCCAGGAGCCTTCCTGATCTTCTGCCTTTGAAAGAGGTGGCTCACATCCTCTTGACAGATCATGAGTGCAGGTGAGGGGTCAGAGGGGGGGGTGAGAGCGTGGCAGTGGGGGAAGGTGACTGTTTGAAGATGATGTTGGGGCGGGGGAGAGGTGTGACTGGGCTTTTCAAACCTACAGTAAAATCCATTCAGCTTGTCTGCCACTTGTTGAGTACCAGCAGTGTTGGGGGATGGTCTCCTGCAGGCCTCTCCACACGGACACAGGGTCGCTGGCCGTGAAGCTGTTTTCTAGCTTTCCAGCTTGGCTCTTTAGTCAGAGTGTTCCTGGCCTGGATTTACAGGACCTTATTCCCACTTCTGAAGGTCTCCTCTTTAGTCTGACGAAGCTGCGTGAGTTTTGCTGTGGGCCAGGGTTTTTGTGTTGCACTAGAGTAAAAGTAGTAATACTACATTGTAATACTTCATTATAAGTAAAAGTACCACATTCGAAATCTTACTGCTGTGTAATATATTAAGTAAATGAAGAAATGCTACAATGTATTCTCTATTTCAAGTAAAAATACCACAGTGTAATGGCTTACTTACAGCTACTACAATGTAATACAAGAGGTAATTCTACAGTATGTAATATTCCATGACATGAATATACTGCATGAGTATAAGAAGAAATACTAAATTCAATTGAAAATACATATAAATATTTTGTAGCATAAAATAATTATTATGAAATACAATAGAACTATCATTTAGTGTAATAGAAATAAAAAGTAGTATAATAGAATTAGTATTTTAGCAGCCAACACAATATCCACACAGAAATACAGTAAAGACAGTAAAGGTAGTAGTGGTACAGACTGAAAATAAATATGGTACTGTTAATTATAGTAATGTTAATAAATTTAATAATAATAATAATAATAATAATAATAATAATAATATATAATAGACCTATCAATAATAATTGTAAAAATGGGTGTCGAGCAGGAACTTTGTAGCAGCAGAATTGGTATGTAGTGTAAGACAAGTAGTAAGTAGGATAATTAAAGTAGTATGTAGTGTAATGTAATTAGCATGTAATATAATTAGCACGTAGCAAAATAGAATTAATATGTAGTAAGATAGAAGTAGTATATAGTATTATAGAAATAGTATGTAGTATAATATGGTAAGTATAATTAGTGTAATGGAAGAAGTAAGTACTAAAATAGATCTTAGTAATATAGTAATATGTAGTAAAAGATTAGTATGTGGTATAATATAACTAGTTTGTAGTACAATATAATATGTAGTATAACAGAATTGGTATGTAGTATAATATAACTAAAATGTCGTAAAAGATAATTAGCATATATTATAATTAGTATGTGGTATAACAGAATAAGTATGTAGTATAATATAATTAGAATGTAGTCTAATAGAATGAGTATGTAGTATGATAGAAGTAATATGTAGTATAAGATAGTTAGTATACAGCAAATATAATTAGTATGTAGTGTATTTGGGAGTACTGCTGCTCTCTAGTGGCTACAACAACACACTGCTTTACTTGAGGCCTTTTACTACTGCTGCTTCTGCTGCTGCTGCTTCAGCTCCTGTTACCAAGCCCTTCCTGAAATACCTCAACAAAGGTTAGATGGATTGTGATGAAATGTGTTTCTGTTTCCGGCTCTGACAAAGTAGCCTCTAGTCATGTTTGTATGAGGACTTGTTGGCTCTCATCAACACCAAGTGTAAACTGTAAAGTTCACCTTTGATGGCTAAAATCTCCATAAATAAAGTCCATGGACGTGACCTCCAGGTGGGTCGTCATTGTTGGTCTCTGGGCTCAGTTCAACTCTGTGTGGGTGGAGGGCTCAGTGGAAAAAAGGCTTCCAGATAACAAGAAAAAGTTGATGAGTGTACAGCTGCAGAGATGAATCTGCTCTCAGTGGTTATTAGGACTCATAAAAAAACTGTTGACAGCCAATCATCACTTCCTTCCCTGCAGTAGACGGGCTGTGTGGGTTTCTGCTCTGCAGCCTCCTCACCGCTAGCTGCACTTTTTCACATAAATAACACAATGACAGTTACAACCTTCAACTCATGTTAAAGAAGTTCAGTTTGATTTCAGCGCTCAGTACTCACTGTCTCAGCTTTGATCTGTGTTATTAATCTGTGAGAGTAACAGCTCATGTTCAACCACCTGCAGTCTGCTCTAATCCCACTTTATTACCTCACACTGATTCTAACAGGCAATCAGTCAGCAAAGTGTTCATATGGAAATAATAACTAAACAACGTTTCAACACGCAGCAGGCAAAATAAAAACTTAAGCAGCATTTTATTGGTTTAGAAGAAATAAACACAGCCATCATGTTGCCAGCATTCAGACTTCAGCCCAACTGTGGGATCATTTTATAGCAGTTGTAGTTTAACAACAGCTCTGCTGTTTGTTTATGTGTGTGAACAACAGTGTCATCAGCGTAGAGTTTTACATTCACACTGACACAATTATAAAAGGGGTCAGCACTGAACCTGGTGGCACACCCAGACCTGCTGACTTGTATAGAACAGCCTTATACACATGTTTATGTTTGCTCATCCTTGTTTAGCTTTGTTGTCCTTGTTTCGCTGTGTGCTTATATTCATATCTTCCTTACATTTGTACTATGCGCACTGTGAAAGTATATTAAGAGCTACTAACAACCAGAGTCAAATATTCAGTTTATTAAGAAAGTTACACTGAAAGAATTTGACAAACCTGCCACACTCTGCATAATGTATTAAAAAGAGACACAAGAACAGAAAGATAGCGTAAACAATAAAATACCTAGCAGACAGCTAATGATTCAGCTTAAGTTTCTGATATTATACAAGTCAAAATTAAAAGTCAAATAATAATAATAATAATATAGTTTGGAAATAAACTAGAGTGTCAAATTAACACTATACCAAAGAATTTACACTCAGTAACTGCAAATATATGTGTATATATGTTTTATATTTTAAGGATGACTGTATCTAACCTGTGCACATCGTAACTTACATTTCTGACTTCTGATCAAAGTGATCAGTGAGATGAAAAAAAGTGAGCAGAAAACAGTCAGTCAGCATGTGTGCAGCTGGTGGACGGTCCCTTGTTCTGAGGATCCTCAGCAGAGAGAGTCCACAGCAGTACACCAGACTCTTCACTATCAGCACTGTGTACAGCACACAGAGCAGTTTCACCTGGTTCAAAAAACAGATCGCTGAAACAGAAAAGGAGTCAGAAAGAAATGTCAGTCCTCTGCTCCTCTGCTCTCTTTGTCAGAGTCTCCACATGAAGCTGATTCTCTGCTGAACACAGTCACCAAGCCTTCATTACCTTGTTCTGTTTGGGCCTTCACTTCCCCCCCCTCGTGCTGGACGTAGCAGCGGTATTTATACGTATAGAGAGCGTCCCGATCAATCACTCTGATGGCGGCGGTGCGTCCCGACTCTCTGAGCTCCAGCTGCTCCTCCTCAGCAGGTGCCAGCTCCTCCGTCAGACTGTTCTCCTTTCGTCTTTTCCAGGAGAAGCGGACCAGAGGAGGAAACATGCCTGAGGCCACACACAGCAGGGAGCTCTTCCCCTCATGGTGGGCTCTGGATGCTGCTGGGTACACGCTCACCACGGGCTTCACTACCGGGTTATCTGAAGTTTGACAGCAGCAACAAGCAGCACAGACACACATTCACACAGTCAACAGCAGCTTCCAGCACTGCATTCAGTCTGATCCTGGAAACTACATGGACTCTGATCACTGAGCTCCTCATCAATACAGCACACAGTTCACTACATGGACTGGATTCACCTTCATATCACACACGTCATGTATAATAATAATAATATAATATGTTATATGAGGAAAGAAAAGAATTTTACTTATTTAGCAGTTCTACATATGCTGGATTCTTATAATATAATTATGAAATATCCCTTTAAAAACTTATTTTATAAACATATTTTAATAAAGGTATTTTTTACGTTCACATTAAATTAGTTATACTTTTACATTTACTTAGACATTATATATATACTTTATTTTAGCAACAAAAAAATCTAATTGTTGCATCAGTAATTTCATAAAGTTTTAAAATTAAAAATTCTATATAAAACACAATTTACATATATGTTCAGATACATGATCGAAAGTCTGGAAACAACAATACTGTAATCTAAGTACATTTTAATGTAACATAATATCAAACATTACATAAGAATCAAAACTACTGTTTACATGTTAGGGTAAAAATACATATTGCACCAAATTACATATTTACTTCACATAAAATAATTTCAAGTCAAGTCACGTACATTATTTATAATTTCTGAACTTGAACCACTCAACAACTAATCAATATCATATCATCAATGTCTTTGTTTAATATGTTAAATGTGAATAAAGACAGCTTTATAATATTAAATAAGATTCACTATTGACTGATTACTTTTTAATATAATGTAATAATGTGATGTTAAAATTATAAAGAACCTGATACATCATTTTTACTACCATATACTTTTGAAAACATGTTTTATAATTTAAATTATAAAGCATCACAAACTATTTGTATTTATATTAAAAGTATAAAATGCAAATATATTTGTGTGAGCGACTTTATTCACTCTATTTCACATATATAAATACATAAATGTAAATTTTATCATCTAAAATGAATAAATTATCCTGTACAACATATTTATAGTAAAATGTCTTTTCAAAAACAATAGACTGCGCTGACTCACTGAGAGGATCAAATACTGTATATTTACAACTTTGTCAATATCTTACTTTTTCCATATGAATCAGTTTTGCTGGTGCAGAAATAAATAATATTCAGTTGTGCAGTGAGATTTAAACATCTTTTCAGGAATTATGAACCTTTTTATGTAACAATAGCTGCACGGCTGTAAGAACTCTACTAATTATGAACAAACTAATATTTGAAGCCTGAAACAACAGAAACTCATAAAAAACACATTTTAACTTGTTCAATAAAACAACTGAAGGAAAATAAATGTTTATTCTTACCTGTTACATACAGTTTAGTTCCAGAGCCAAAGATCCAGTAGCCACAGTGAAACAGAGTAATACAAAAACCTGTCAGCTGCTGAATGTGTCAGCTGAGGTGAACGAGTCCAGATGATGAACCAGGATCATATTTCAGCTGCATGATGTGTTTCTCTAATGTTCATATCAACATGACTGTCTCTTCTTTTATTGTCTTTTTAGACACACTAGCAGTGTTGCTCTGTGCATGCTGATGTCTGCTGGTCCAGATGGACTGGACCTGGACCAAAGGATGGATGGATTGACATTGTTGTTCAGACATTCTTGGTCCCCAGAGGATTCACTTCATTAATTCACTTGATTCTGACTCTTCAGAAGAAGATGCAGATGTCCAGGCCCAGACTTCCTCTTCTGTGCTCTTGTCATTGTTTACAGTCCGATAAGCAATCTGAGAGCCCATCAGCTGTCATCTGATATAAAAGCTAATCTGAAGTTAAATATTCATGAGATGATAGCCGATGGTTTCTGCCTTATTTGCTCTCCACACGGACTGTTGACCTGCATGCAACCAAAACCAGCTCAGATTTGATTGGTCAATACTATTCGGACTACAAACAGAAACCACAACGCATTCATATGCAGATATCTGTTTACAGAGATTATTTCTGATCTGTATCAAGACTTTAAGGATAGACGGTGCTGTATGCTGTACAGATTGTAAAGCCTTTGTTAGCCGGTGTTAGCATCAAATGCCAACACCGAATCTGAAGGAGAACATCTTGTGGTCCCTTTTATGTTTCATTCTTCCCTGATCTATCTGATGTTTAGACTCCAATGCTTCGTCATATTGGAATCTCTCACTATCCATGAGTGGTTCTCTGATCTGTGGAGCCAGTGAGTTCTTGTAAATATTCTTGTAAGATTCCCAGAGAACACTGATATCTGCCAGCCTGACGCCTGAGCTACTGTCTCTAACTAATCAGTCTAAGTACATGTGAGAAACACCTAAAGCTAGAATGTCAGAAAACACTTATGGGGTCAGCTAAATTACTCTAAGCTAGAGCTGTCTTACTTTTCCCTGTCACATCAACAAAGCCCCTTAAGAAATATTCTCCACACGTGGCTATGCATAGGCTACAGCGTACCTAAGGAGGAGATTCGACAAAAAACTATACACTGAGCTTTGTGAGGGAAATGAGGAACAGGTGAGCAGGTGGGCGGGGAGGTCAGGTGATGGGAATGGTGGGAAAGATGTTAGCTCAGTGCGGGGGAGAGTGGCTGGATGTGGGAGTCAGGTGACTGAGACAGATGGAAACATCTGAGGACACCTGGTGGACAGGTGGAGAAATGGTAATGAGAGGTGGGAATGTGTCTGAAAGGAAGGACAGAGAGGCAGAATGGAGAAACACAACTGAGTCAGACACTGTGACCCCCCTCCAGTTAATCTGTTCATGTTTGTGTTATTAAGATATTAAGATACACTTTGGTGTGGGTTTGAGTAAGAAGCACTCGTGTTTTGCTCTGAAGTGTTGGCTGTAATTTTGCCAGCTTGCTGTGTACCGAGCATTTATTCTGTGGAAATAGTGCAGGATAAAACTTTAGCTCTATTTAGTTTTACCCTTATATTAACTTAGATTATTTTTATGTTCATAATATTTTTATTTAACTTCACAGACATCTTAATATTAAAAATATTTGTATTGTTTTTAGATAATTTTTTTGCACTGAATGTTTTTTGGTATAAAGTTGACTTTGCACTACCTCGTTCCCCTTCGAGGGAACTCGAACTGCGTCGGTGACGACACTTTTAATTGTCTTTATCCGAATGTTTAGAACTGAGTATTTTTCCAAATGTCGATGATAGTGTGGAGAGAGAGATTAAAGGGAAATATGCGCAACGTATCCCAAAAGAAAGTTAACACCTTTGGGGTGACTTCCCCTGAGACCCACTCCCAAATTGACGTCACCACTACCTAATGAAGTCAAATAAAAGGGCCTTGTTGTCTTTGGCTCACCTCTTCTCTAAAAAACTCTCTTGAAACTAAACCTATACGCTCTCTTAACTTCCTTTACTTTTTGAAATTCCAATCTTTTTCCGTTTCGTACTTAAATTTTCTTCAGACGAGCTGAGAAAGCTACGACCCTGAATCCCAATTTTCTTAGCGGGAGATTTGATTTTTGATTTTTTGTTTGGAGCTGCCTGTTTAATCTCAGCAACATTAAACAGCCGATATTCCCGAGGCCTCGCGAACCTACGGCGAATGTGTGTTTATTTGATTTTGTTGTTGCAACCTCATCCGATAGTTTTTGAACAACTTTGGACCAGAAACTCAGAAGCCTTCATTTATGGCCTTGAATAAATGAAACCACGGCTCTGACGACAGAACCCTGAGTGGGCTCCGCTATAGCGACACCAAACGAACTGAGATCAGAGTAAAAGCCTTGGCTGACGGCCCGTTGCTGCAAGCGCTTCCCACAAAGGACTCCGGAACAAATCCACCGGTTTCGAACTCAACTCGAAAAAGCCACTGGGGTCGGGCCAGAACCGACTCCACGAGCCAACCGGCAGTCGAGCCTCGCTACGGGACCTGCGGCAACGGTAGGGCAAAACAAACCACCTCTGTGACTCGTTGGTGTTCTCTAGTGGCTCCATCCACAGTTAATAAACCCTTAGATTAGTCAAACTAAATCTGCAACCTAATTTCGGTCATTCGTTCCCTCATACTCGTAGAATTCTCTCCCTCTACAATATAAACTGAAATCCAATCGAGCCTTACGTAGGCCACCCTGTTCATTACCTCCTGGGTGTCATATTGACTGTTGTCCCTGTAATAATACCACTATTGTACTCTCTTTAGTTAGTTAATCAATTCACCTTGAGCACAGTGATGTTGTGTGTGTTATTAAGAATCTAGAGTCCCTGTATAGAACTCACCCTCAGATTTGAGATTGACTGATTGACTAGAGTTTACGATTTCAGAATAACGGAACCAGTAACAACTAATGAATTACCGGAAATTTGTGTAATTCTCAGGCTTTACTCAAGGACCTAAAGCTTTGGGCGGACAAGCAAATCTTTAGGTGGTGCTCCTAGTTTCAAGTCATAAATTAATATTCCCGGAAATATTAATTTTCATAACTGTATTAAAATTATACGTAGCCATGAGATGAGAAGAGATGTTTTGTACCACATTCCAAACCACCCCTCACCCATTGGTGCTAAGTAAGTGTCCTTATCTGATCATGCAGAGACCCCCTGTTTCTGCACCTCTCCAAAAAACACACAAATCAGGTCGAGTTTAATAAATGATAAAGCAACATATAAACTTCTACCTATAAAATACATCAGAGATCAATATAAGAAAACACAATACTAGTGGTTCCCCTGAGTAATACACAAATCATGCTATCATAATCTCTCAGCATGAACGGCAAAAGCTCAGAGAAACCCTGACAACTGCACCTGTATTGGCATTCTACGACCCGGCGAAGAGGATCAAAGTGTCGACAGACGCCTCAAAGAACGGGATTGGTGCAGTACTTTTACGAGCTGAAGGTGAGCACTGGAAACCAGTAGCCTATGCATCCAGATCCATGACAGAGACTGAGTGTAGATACGCTCAAATAGAAAAAGAATGCCTGGGACTTGTGTTTGGCCTGGAGCGGTTCCACAGCTACATTTATGACCTACCATCTTTCACGGTGGAAACAGACCATCGCCCGCTAGTCGCCATGGTCAAAAAGAATCTGAGCGAGATGTCGCCAAGGATTCAGCGTTTGATGATGAAAAAGCAGAGATATGACTTTGAGCTGATCTCCACCTGA